GTATCCCACTCTTTCTAACCGCATTGTTTATCAGCGGGCCCGTGCCCATGCTCAGCAGGTTCGACGTCAAAGCCAAAAGGAGTCTTGGATAAAGTTCACTACTAGCATCTCTTCTACCACCAATTCCAAAACTGTATGGGACAAGATTCGGAGAGTCACTGGGAGGTATGCTTCCCATCCCCTTTCCATCTTGCTTTCCAATGGCCAGGAAGTTGCTGATGCTCTCGGCTAGAGCTTTTCTCGTGCATCTAGCACTTCTGTTTCTTCCCCTGCCTTCTTGGCCATAAAGTCTCGAGCAGAGCGATCGCCTCTTTCTTTTCGGGCTGATCGTCTCTATGATTATAATCGCCCTTTTACAGTGGTGGAACTCAAACTTGCTCTTCATCGATCTGGCAGAAAATCATTATGAGATGTTGCGCCATCTCTCTCCTGCCTCTCTTGCTATTCTTCTGGTTATTTTTAACCGGATTTGGCAGGAACATATTTTTCCAGATGCTTGGCGCCAGGCTATTGTCCTCCCTTTCTCGAAACCTGGGAAGGATCCCAAGATTCCTTTTAATTATCGTCCCATCGCTTTGACTAGTTGTCTTTGTAAGGTTCTAGAGAGGATGGTTAATGCTCATCTTGTTTGGTTCCTGGAATCAAACATGATCCTCTCACCCACACAATGTGGGTTTCGTCGACAGCGATCCACCATGGACCATCTGATTCGATTTGAAACGTCGATCAGGGAAGCCTTTCTCAAGAGAGAACACCTTGTTTCTGTGTTCTTCGATCTTGAGAAGGCTTATGACACTATGTAGAGGTACGGAATTTTGCAGGACCTCCACTCCTATGGGTTGCGTGGCCATTTACCCATTTTTATCCGCAATTTTTTACAGAACAGGCGATTCCAAGTCCGTGTGGGTTCCACTCTTTCCCGTTCCTTCCCACAGGAACTTGGAGTCCCTCAGGGCTGTGTCTTGAGTGTCACACTTTTTAGTGTTAAAATTAATGCTATCACTACAAATCTTCCTCCGACTGTTACAAATGGGCTCTATGTCAACGACTTCCACATCTCGTGCCAGTTGTCGAACATGAGGTTTATTGAGCGGCAGCTTCAGACTGCCCTCAATCGGTTGTTGACATGGACCACTGCATGCATTTTTGCCGCCAACGGGGTCTCCACCCCGATCGCGAGCTCCGTCTCGGCGATATAGTCATTCGTGTGGTCCCTGAGGCAAAGTTCTTGGAGCTTCTCTTTGATCGTAAGCTTAGCTTCATTCCACACATCAAGCAGCTGCGTGTCAAGTGTGCAAGGGCTCTGAACATCCTTTGTGTCCTCTCTTCCAGCTCTTGGGGAGCAGATCGATGTTCTATGCTCAGGATTTATCGTGCTTTAATTCGATCCAAACTGGACTATGGGTCGTTGGTCTATGGTTCCGCCAGGACCTCGGCCCTGAAGATGCTGGACCCCATTCACCACCTGGGGCTTCGGTTCTGCACTGGAGTTTTTCGCACTTCTCCAGTCCAGAGTTTGTACACTGAGTCCCACGAACCTTCTCTTCACCTCTGTTGTTTGCAACTTTCTTTACAATATACTACCAATCTTCGATCCTTACCTCGGCATCCCACCT